CTCCTGCAGGGGAAAAAATTAATTCCTCATGCCTCGAGAGGCAATCGGATATTCCCTGGATAAACTTCACCTGTAAATGTTAGTATGCAGTTATATTCTGTGTATCTAAGAAAGAATCCAGGACTTTTTTAAAGAATTCCACTGAGCTGGCCAGAACCAACTCTTGAGGAGTCTATTCCACATTTTTACAGCTCTTACTTTGAAGAAATCTTTCCGTGTTTGGAGATGAAATCTCTTTTCCTCCAGACGTAAAGAGTGCCCCCTTGTCCTCTGTGATGACCTCAGGGGGAATAGATCTACACCGAGTTCACTATATGAACCACTGATGTAATTATACATGGAGATCATATCCCCCTTATGTATTATACATGGAGATCATATCCCCCTTATGTATTATACATGGAGATCATATCCCCCCTTATGTATTATACATGGAGATCATATCCCCCCTTATGTATTATACATGGAGATCATATCCCCCTTATGTAGTATACATGGAGATCATATCCCCCCTTATGTATTATACATGAAGATCATATCCCCCCCTTATGTATTATACATGGTGATCATATCCCCCCTTATGTATATTATACATGTATTATACATGGTGATCATATCCCCCTTATGTATTATACATGGAGATCATATCCCCCCTTATGTATTATACATGGAGATCATATCCCCCTTATGTATTATACATGGAGATCATATCCCCCTTACGTAGTATATACATGGAGATCATATCCCCCCTTATACGTAGTATACATGGAGATCATATCCCCCCCTTATGTATTATACATGGTGATCATATCCCCCCTTATGTATTATACATGGTGATCATATCCCCCCTTATGTATTATACATGGAGATCATATCCCCCTTATGTATTATACATGGAGATCATATCCCCCCTTATGTATTATACATGGTGATCATATCCCCCTCTTATGTATATATTATGTAGGTACAGGATCATATCCCCCTTATGTATTATACATGGAGATCATATCCCCCCTTATGTATTATACATGGAGATCATATCCCCCCTTATGTATTATACATGGTGATCATATCCCCCCTTATGTATTATACATGGTGATCATATCCCCCCTTGTGTATTATACATGGTGATCATATCATATCCCCTTGTGTATTATACATGGTGATCATATCCCCCCTTGTGTATTATACATGGAGATCATATCCCCCCTTGTGTATTATACATGGAGATCATATCCCCCCTTGTGTATTATACATGTATTATACATGGATTATCATATCCCCCCTTGTGTATTATACATGGTGATCATATCCCCCCTTATGTATTATACATGGAGATCATATCCCCCCTTATGTATTATACATGGTGATCATATCCCTCTTATGTATTATACATGGAGATCATATCCCCCCTTATGTATTATACATGGAGATCATATCCCCCCTTATGTATTATACATGGAGATCATATCCCTCTTATGTATTATACATGGAGATGATATCCCCCCCTTATGTATTATACATGGAGATCATATCCCCCCTTATGTATTATACATGGAGATCATATCCCCCTTATGTATTATACATGGAGATCATATCCCTCTTATGTATTATACATGGAGATGATATATCCCCCCTTATGTATTATACATGGTGATCATATCCCTCCTTATGTATTATACATGGAGATCATATCCCCCCTTATGTATTATACATGGTGATCATATCCCCCCTTATGTATTATACATGGTGATCATATCCCCCCTTATGTATTATACATGGAGATCATATCCCCCTTATGTATTATACATGGTGATCATATCCCCCCTTATGTATTATATATGGAGATCATATCCCCCCTCATGTATTATACATGGAGATCATATCCCCCTTATGTATTATACATGGAGATCATATCCCCCCTTATGTATTATACATGGTGATCATATCCCTCCTTATGTATTATACATGGTGATCATATCCCCCCCTTATGTATTATACATGGAGATCATATTCCCCCTTATGTATTATACATGGAGATCATATCCCCCCTTATGTATTATACATGATGATCATATCCCCCCTTATGTATTATACATGGAGATCATATCTCCCCTCATGTATTATACATGGTGATCATATCCCCCCTCATGTATTATACATGGAGATCATATCCCCCCCTTAATTTCCTCTTCTCAAGAGAGAATAAATTCAGTTCCTCTAATCTTTCCTCATACCTTCTGGCACACTGTAATCTGGAGTGACAAGACCAAAATAGAGCTTTATGGTCACAACCATAAGCGATATGTTTAGAGAGAGGTAAACAAGGCCTATAGCTACAAGAATACCATCCCCACTGTGAAGCACAGTGGTGGCTCAGTGATGTTTTGTGTTGTGTGAGCTCCAAAGGCACAGGGAATCTTGTGAAAATTGATGGCAAGATGAATGCAGCATGTTATCAGAAAATACCAGCAGACAATTTGCATTGTTCTGCATGAAAGCTGTAAAGCACAAGACCAAGTTGACCCTCCAGTACTTACAGCAGAGAAGGTGAAGTTTCTGGAGTGGCCATCACAGTGTCCTGGCCCTAATATCATTCAGCCACTCTGGGGAGATCTCAAACGTTCGGTTCATGCAAGACAACCAAAGACTTTACATGACCTGGAGCCATTTTGCTAAGACAAATGGGCAGCTATACCACCTGCAAGAATTCAGAGCCTCATAGACAACTAATACAAGAGACTGCATGCTATCATTGATACTAAAGGGGGCAATACACAGAATTAAGGGGGATGCAGACTTTTGAACAGGGGGCATTTTATTTGTTTACTTGTTGTCATGTTTTGTTTTATGATTGGTCCATTCTGTTATGACCTCCAGTTACAGAATATGAATCCCATAAGAAACAAAAATGGTACATAATGTATATTATCAATTCTCCAAGGGGATGCAAACTTTTGAGCACAACTTTACATATATTTATACTCCTATTACTCTCTCTTCCTGAACACCTTGGCCACAAGCGTACGCAACTATGTGACCCCACTGGACCGGGCTTTTTTCCGTGGGGCTGCATCTTTGTGCTGAGGGCGCGCCACAGCACAGAGACCAGGGTCTCACTGAAAGCTGCGATCAGGATCCGGAACTACCAATTCTGGGTCACCTGATCGCTGTGATAGCCTCTGATTGGCTCAGTCGCTGTGACAGCCACCCCCCTGTTTTCTCTCCCTGAAAGGAGGAGAGAGATACATTGTATCCTTGCAGAGAGAAAAAAAAGACAACTGTGTACAAAAAAATAAAATAAAATAATATTAATAATAATAAAAAAAAAATAAAACCTACATCGAGGTTTGATCTAGGTCAGTGCTAGGGATAGTGTTAGGGTCAAAGATCAGGGTCTGTATTTTTTTGGGGGGCAGGATTTAATTTTTTGTTTGTTTATTAGTATCAGTGTCAGTGTGTTTTAGGTAGGATAAAAAATAAAAATGTGCACTATTGTTTCTGGGCTGTACTATGGGTACAAAGAACAACTAACATACACATATGTGGTTTCACTATGAGCGTCAGGAGCAGGAGAATTTTCGGTGGGTTGTTCTTTGGTGGTAGGTTATGGTAGTAGCAACAAATATAGAACTCATTTAAAAAAAAATATATATATTTTTTTTACTATTTTGGGCCAGTTTTCCTTTGATAATAAAAAATAATCCAGAGATACCCATTACTAGTTTCCACCAAATTAACCACCTGCCCTCCTGAGGATTTACTCCCCTTCCTGACCAGACCATTTTTTGCGTTATGGCGCTGCGTTACTTTAACTGACAATTGAGCGGTCATGCAACACTGCACCCAAATGAAATGTATGTCCTTTTTTCCCACGAATTGAGCTTTCTTTCGGTGGTATTTGATTGCCTGTGCGTTTTTTATTTTTTGTGCTATAAAAAAAAAGACCGACAATTTTGAGAAAAAAAACTATATTTTGGACTTTTTGCTATTAAACAAGTTCAGTAAAAAAATGTAAAAAAAATCTAATTTTGTCATAAATTTAGGCCAAAATGTATACTGCTACATGTCTTTGCTAAAAAAAATTCCAATGCGTGTAAATGAATTGATTTACATGAAATTTATAGCGCTTACAAATGGTGGTATAGATACTGGGATTTTTTTTTCCACTAGTAATGGCGGTGATCGGCGACTTTTAGTGGGACTGCAAGGGGCATTCTGACACTGGGGGGGGGGAACTAACTGACATCCCCAGTGACACCAATACAGTGATCAGTGCTAAAAAAAAAAAAGCAAAAAAAAAAAGCACTGACACTGTACTAATGGCACTGGGCAGGAAAGGGAGTGTTTTACTAGGGGGCGGTGTCTGTGTGCTTCACTGTAAGCACACTGATCGGGATCAGTCATCCCGAGCAGTGTGCCTGAGCTGACAGGGAAAAAGACTGTTTGTAAACAAAGCAGTCTTCCTCCCCGTCGGAGATGCTCGGTAATCACTGGGCGCCGGCGGGGAATTACTGTCCGGGGCCTGGTAATTGACAGCTGCGGCCGTGATTGATCGCGAGTGGCTTGTGCGCGCCCCTGCCTGGAAATGCAAAATCATGTAAATATACGTGAGTTTGCGCACTGTGCCACCCTGTAGCAGTATTTCTGCTATAGGGAGGTCGGGAAGCGGTTAAAGCCCAATTTGTCATGAAAAAAAACAAGGTATAATTCACCTGGATGCACAAAGTAGTTGTGATGATATGTGCGGTTTTACTAACACATGTCAATGTTGCAAAATTGTACTTAGATATTAACATTTGTTTTACCCTTAGGAGTGAAGGGGTTAAGCCTCAGCTGAAAAATGTTTACTTTTGTTATTTAAAATGTATTTCATTCATATAAAACATCATATGTATCTAATACAATTCCAAAAGTAATGCATATCTTAAAGACACAAAAAAAAAAACCATCAAAAATATTATATATATATTATATTTTATAAAAAAAAAAAATGATACCTCAATAATGGTTGGTTTTCCCACATTCTCAAAGGTTGGAGATCCATACAGTACGCCATCACTGTACGGGGTCCGCTGAATGTAGCGCAGCCAACCCGGTCGGTCAGGATAGCCCATTAAATTTGTGTTAAAGGTGATTGGATCATTGCTGAGCTCCCCTATACATGAAAAAAGACATTAGTTCAGTTGGAAGCTGAAGATAAAAATAAAAATAATTCTATATACTGTAGACTTTTGACATATATTTTTACTGCTGATAAATACTGCTGAGATACAAGTCCCTATACATACAGTACGTAGTCTTATCAAAGAAACTATAACTGGAATTCCCTTTCGGTTTCCATGTTCCTTTGCTAGTGAGCATACATATCTACACCATGTTCCAAATTATTATGCAAATTATAGTTTTCTCATTTACCTAAATAATTGATGTAAATAAAAGTCAGCATAATTCTCATGTTATCAACTATGAAGAGTACAATTCACATTTTATTGAACAAACCTCCTAATGATAACAGGATTTTTGTTAAACATAAAACACTTCCAATGACTGTTCCAAATTATTCCGCACAGAAAGTTTCAAAATACTTTATAGGTTGTAAAGAACTGAATATTGTCATTTGTTGTGTTTGCAGCATATTTACTGAAATCAAAAGCTATTTCAATCAAACTTTTAACAACATTTTAACTTTTTAAACATTTTAACAGGTCACGTTACATTGTAACATAGGACCCCTTGTTTGATAGCAGCTTCACAAGTCTTGCATCCATTGAACTTGTGAGTTTTTGGACAGTTTCTGCTTGAATTTGTTTGCAAGACATCAGAATAGCCTCCCAGAGCTGCTGTTTGGATGTAAACTGCCTCCCACCCTCATAGATCTTTTGCTTGAGGATGCTCCAAAGGTTCTCAATAGGATTGAGGTCAGGGGAGGATGGAGGCCACACCATGACTTTCTCTCCTTTTATCCCCAGAGCAGCCATTGATGCAGAGGTATTCTTTGCAGCATGAGATGGTGCATTGTCATGCATGAAGATGATTTTATTACAGAAAGCATAGTTCTTCCTTCTGTACCAGGGAAGAAAGTGGTCAGTCATAAACTCCACATACTTTGCAGAGGTCATCTTTACACCTTCGGGGATCCTAAAGGGGCCAACCAGCTCTGTTCCCATAATTCCGGCCCAAAACATGACTCCACCACCGCCTTGCTGACGTCGCAGCTTTGTTGAAACAGGGTGGCCATCCACAAACCATCCACTACTCCATCCATCTGGACCATCCAGGGTTGCACGGCACTCATCAGTGAACAGGACTGTTTGAAAATTAGTCTTCATGTATTTTTCTGCCCAATGCAGCCATTTCTGCTTGTGAGCATTGATTAGTGGTGGCCGAATAGAAGGTTTATGCACAGTTGCAAGACTCTGGAGGACTCTACACCTTGATGTCTGTGGGACTCCAGAGACACAAGCAGCTTCAAATATCTGTTTGCTGCTATGTAATGGTATTTTAGCAGCTGCTCTCTTGATCCGATGCATGGATCTGGCAGAAATCTTCCTCAATGTGCCTTTATCTGCACCAACCCGTCTGTGCTCTGAATCAGCTACAAATCTCTTAATAGTGCGATGATCACGCTTAAGTTTTCGTGAAATATCTAATGTTTTCATACCTCATCCAAGGCTTTGAACTATTTCACTCTTTTTGGCAGCAGAGAGATCCTTTTTCTTTCCCATATTGCTTGAAAATGGTGCTCTGCTTAATAATGTGGAACACCCTCCTTTAGTAGTTTTTCCTTAAATTGGGCTCACCGGCCAATCTAATTATCACAGGTGTCCGAGATTGTTTTCAGTGATCAAAAGAGCCCTGACACACAATGCCATCCATGAGTTAACCTGAAAACCAAATATTTAATCTATGTGACACTTAAATAGAATTTGCATAATAATTTGGAACAGGGTGTAAAGGGACACAACCAACAAACGTTTCATGCTTGTCTGTACTCTCCTTGGCACATTTACTTTGCGCTCTATTTCTATACTCAGCCACTAATAGGGAAAACTGTCGATTTTTCATACCTGGTTTTGGGTAGGGCGGGAATTCCCCTTTGTAGTATTCTCTCTCCAGAACGTGGACAAACAGAACCCCGGAGGAGGGATAGACGTTGCGGTCGGAGTGCACCTTGGACAGGATGGTATAGACTGCAAAGTGGAGAATAGAGAATAAACATGAAGACAATTTCTATATGTGATACTAGGAGGAGAACGGTACAAATCTCTGCGGGGAAGGGAAGGAACACTTTATTAATGTGTTAGCACAGTATCAGGTTATTATACACGGTGTGAACTACTGACACCAGATCCCAGGAGGACATCACAGCTTTGGTAATGAAGACATCTGAAGCTCATTAAAGCTTTATAACATATATAGACCTCATTGTGTTACGTTGCCCCTCACACAGCCAATGTGTGCTGAATCTAATGCGTATAAAGTGTAAAAAAAACAGTTATGGGCTTAATATGTTGGGCATCTATTTAGTCGGCACAACCTCATCTTTTATATTTTATCAAAAATATGGGTAATATCTTGCATTTGTGCGCCCTGCAATCATTTTTAGGGCTCATTTACACTGGCTTCAACTTTACCACACATTAAAGTGCCTACTGCTTGAAAATGCTTTTTGGACGTGTTTTTGATGCTTTGGTGATGCTTTTTTGAAGCTTTAATGAAGCTTGGCAAATGCTCTGTGTGTTGATTTTCTATTTGTTTTAAAGAGCCCAGTAGAACCCTGGCTCAGCTGTACCGCCGCTCAGAAGATCCCTAACTCATTAGTACCCTTGTTTAGCAGATCCCCAACTCATTGGTATCCTCATTCAGCAGATTTCCAGCTTATTTCCAGCTTATTAGTAGCTCCTTTCAGCAGATCCCTCTCAGTAGTTACCCCCAGCTCTGCTGACCCCCCACTCAGTAGTAACCCCCAGCGCTACCGATTCCCTCTTCAATCGTAACCCCCAGCTCTGCTGATCCCCTCCTCAGTAGAAACCCCCAGCTCTGATGATCCCCTCCTCAGTAGTAACCTCACGCTCTGCCGATCTCCCACTCAGTAGTAACCCCTAGCTCTGCTGATCCCCTCCTCAGTAGTAACCCCCAGCTCTGCTGATCCCTCACTCATTATAACCCCCAGCTCTGCTGATCCCTCACTCAGTAGTAACCCCCAACTCTGCTGATCCCTTCCTCAGTACTAATCCCCAGCTCTGCTGATCTCCCACTCAGCAGTAACCCCCAGCTCTGCTGATCTCCCACTCAATAGTAATCCCCAGCTCTGCTGATCCCCTCCTCAGGAGTAACCCCCAGATATGCTGATCTCCCACTCAGTAGTAACCCCCAGCTCTGCTGATCTCTTACTCCGTAGTAACCCCCAGCTCTGCTGATCTCCCACTCAGTAGTAACCCCCAGCTCTGCTGATCCCCTCCTCAGTAGTAACCCCCAGTTCTGCTGATCTCCCACTCAGTAGTAACCCACAGCTCTGCTGATCCCCTCCTCAGTAGTAACCCCCAGCTCTGCTTTTCTCCTACTCAGTAGTACATCACAGCAGGGCTGTGGATAAGGGGGTGTAAGGAAATATGTCTTATTAACTGGCATCCATTTTGTATAATGCCTCCATTTCTAGATGTGTGAGCAGTTAGTTTCGATTTTGTAACTCCTCTCTCGTTTCCTTGGTCTAGTTTCATTTCTGTAAACGGAAACTACCTTATATGGTATCCCTCAGCTATTTGCAGTTTCTGTTCTTCACGTAACTATATTGATAAGAATGGAATGTTTCATTGGTCATCCTGAGATTAGGCAACGCCTACTGAGTTCTGTGTAACCGTTCTTGTCATGCATTAAATTTTCAGAGATTTAGCTTGCACACTTAGGTGTCAGAGCTTTATTTCTCCCAGGCCTGAGGGTGAAAATAACGAGGACAAGGGGGATACAGACATAGGTTGAATCCTTGCAGGGGGTACCACCAGTCCTCCTATATGGGGGCCAGTCCAGCAGCAGGGCCCAGGCAGCCGGGTGAATCGGATGTGGGCGGAGGGGTGGTTGGCATGGCCGGGGGGAGAGCAATTACTGAAGCTAATCCCCTGTATGGCTCCCTCTGCAGCAGCTGAAAGTTGGCTTCTTTTCCTCTCCCTCCCTCTGGCTTTAAGCTGCTGCAGAGAGAACCATACAGGGCATCGGTTCCGGTAATTGCCCCCGCCCCACACTGCACCCATCACCCTCCCTGTGCGTTTAAAAACGCATTTAAATGCATGTGCCTCCATTGTGAGGACTCTCAAGTGGTTTTTGATAGTTGGCTAACTGGCTTTCTTATCCCCCTCTTTTGATGTTATACTTATCCATGTTCCTTGCCAACAATAGCCATTATTAGACGGGGGTAGGCTGGCAAGTTGAACTGGATAGTCCTATTTTTTACTTTGTGACGGTTTCCATGTTCACTGTTTAAAAAGCCAGTTATAGACCCGGGTAGGTGACCAGTTTTTTCTGTTTTTTCTTTGTACACTAATAGAAGTCACAAGACTGCTATACACTGCTGATGAGAAAAGGTATTTAGCTGTTTATATTTACTAAAATAATTGCATTTCCATGTTGTGTGTACTGTGGGAGACCGGATATAGTGAATGCAGGATCCCAGGGAGACAAGATATAGTGAATGCAGGGTCCGGGGAGACCAGATATAGTGAATGCAGGGTCCTGGGAGACCGGATATAGTGAATGCAGGATCCGTGGGAGACCAGAAATAGTGAATGCAGGGTCCGAGGAGACCAGATATAGTGAATGCAGGGTCCGTGGAGACCAGATATAGTGAATGCAGGGTCCGGGGAGACCAGATATAGTGAATGCAGGATCCGGAGAGACCAGATATAGTGAATGCAGGATCCGGAGAGACCAGATATAGTGAATGCAGGGTCCATGGATTAAATTCATTTTTTTTTCCTCAACATTCTACAAACAATACCCAATAATGACAATGTGAAAGAAGTTCATTTTGAAATATTGGCAATTAATTCAAAATAAAAAATGAAAAAAAACTACATGTATTCACAGCCTTTGCTCAATACTTTGTTGAAGCCCCTTTAGCACCAATTATAGCCTCAAGTTGTTTTGAGTATGATGCTACAAGCTTGGTACACCTATTTTTGGGCAATTTCTTCCATTGTTCTTTGCAGTACCTCTCAAGCTCCATCAGGTTAGATGGAAAGCAGCAGTGCACAGCCATTTTTCAGATCTCTCCAGAGGTGTTCAATCAGGTTCAAGTCTGGGCTCTGGCTGGGCCACTCCAGGACATTCACAGAGTTGGTCCGTAGCCACTCCTTGTTATGTGGGCTGTGTGCTTAGGGTTGTTGTCCTGTTGAAAGATGAAACCGTTGCCTCAGTTTAAGGTCCAGAGTGCTCTGGAACAGGTTTTCATCAAGGATGTCTCTGTACATTGCTGCATTCATCTTTCCTTCGATCCTGACTAGTCTCCCAGTTCCTGCTGTTGAAAAACATCCCCACAACATGATGCTGCCACCACCATGCTTCACTGTAGGGATGGTATTGGCCAGGTGGTGAGTGTTGCCTGGTTTCCTCCAGACATGACGCTTGGCATTCAGGCCAAAGAGTTCAATCTTTGTTTCATACAGACCAGAGAGTTTTGTTCCTCATGGTCTGAGAGTCCCTCAGATGCCTTTTGGCAAACTCCAGGCGGGCTGCCATTTGCCTTTTACTAAGGCCTGATTGGTAGAGTGCTGCAGAGATGGTTGTTCTTCTGGAAGGTTCTCCTCTCTCCATAGAGAAATGCTGGAGCTCTTTCAGAGTGACCATTGGGTGCTTGGTTACCTCCCTGGCTAAGACCCCTCTCCCTCGATCACTCATTTTGGCCCGGCAGCCCGCTCTAGGAAGATTCCTGGTGGTTTCAAACTTCTTCCATTTACGGATGATGGAGGCCACTGTGCTCATTGGGACCTTCAATGCTGCAGAAATTTGTCTGTACCCTTCCCCAGATCTGTGCCTTGATACAATCCTGGTTTGGCAGTCTACGGACAATTCCTTGGACTTCATGGCTTGGTTTGCGCTCTGACATGCACTGGTAACTGTGGGACCTTATGTAGACAGGTTTATGCCTTTCCTAATCATGTCCAATCAACTGAATTTCCCACAGGTGGACTCCAATATATATTGTGGAAACATCTCAAGGATGATCCGTGGGAACAGGATGCACCAGAGCTCAAATTTGAGTGTCACGGCAAAGGCTGGGAATACTTATGTACATGTGGAGTTTTTTATTTTTTATTTTTGATTAAATTGCAAACATTTCAAAACAAACTTCTTTCATGTTGTCATTATGGGGTATTGTTTGTAGAATGTTGAGGAAAAAAAATGAATGTAATCCATTTTGGAATAAGACTGTAACATAACAAAATGTGGCAAACGTTAAGCGCTGGGAATACTTTCTGGATGCACTGTACATGTATATGTGTGCAAATTATCAGTATCTCTTTTATTTCAAGAATTTCTATCTAAACAAAAACTGTATTATAGTTCCATTTGCTGAGCTATTTACATCTCTAAATGGAACTTGTTCTAATTTTATCTCTATGTGGTCAATTTAAATGCAGAGTGTCTTGCTGAGTGTTTCGGGTTTATAATATGAATTTACATGAAAAAATGCATTTCAGAAGAAAATGTTCTGTGCATATAATGAAAGGGCTCACATGTACAGCTATGAAGACATGGAATCCAATGTAAAATAGGACATCTCCAGTAACATCATGAATACAAAACCTCCATTGTGTCCAGCCATTACTACGGGGCCATCTGACTTGTTACAGCAGCCCACTCCTCTCCAGCTTGTGTCCAAGTTTCCGAGGTCTCATCTGTTATGATGGCACAGACAGAAAAACATTTCTAACAAGACAAGAGGGAGCTGGGCGAGGACGAATTATTGTAATTCTATAATGTACATGGAGCAAGATTGGAAACATGCCGGGTGGTACTGCTGCACTCAAACAGGAGCTAATATACCATTAAAAAAGTGAAAATAGAGCAACCGGATAGTGCAGAATATCATTTTATTTAGAAAAAAAAGTGGAAAAATAAACAGAAAAAATAAAAAAGTAAAGTATTTATTAAACTAAAAAATTATTTTAAAAAAGTATCTATTAAATTACTAATT